AAATAATTTCTGATATCTTGCAAGAAAACATTTAATGGATTAACTCCTTTAATATTTAGTTTATTAACATGAAATCCACATAACAACCAGCAGTGCTTTTAAAAATTCCAAATTGGTGAAAAAGGATTTTATTTTTATTGATTATTTTCAATATTTATCAAGTTCAATTATTATCAAGTTCATTTACAGAAAGAACACCATGCAGAAACATGGACCGTACAGTAACCACATGCCTTTAAAAGGGCTTTCTCAAGAGTGATATATGTCAGCAAAACAAAATAAATGTTTCTTTTTGAAACTGTAGGTCTTGCACTGAGTTCAGCGATGGGATCAGACACATACATTCAGAGTTCAATTGGGTTTTCTTCTCCTTGAATTTCCTGTTAATCCCCATTCCCCAGAGGATCGAGTTCAAGATGCATGTCCTCACCTTTAAGGCCATCCATGGCCTTGCCCCCTCGTATCTCTCTGACCTGCTGACTCCCTACAAGCCTGCCCGCTCCCTCCGCTCAGGGGGCTCCAGCCTGTTCCATGTCTCCCGCCCAACCCGCCCTACCATCGGTGGCCAGGCTTTCAGCCTCTCTGCCCCCACTCTCTGGAACTCCATCCCACGGTCCCTTCGCATCGCTTCCTCCCTCGCCTCCTTCAAGGTCAGTCTCAAGACCTTTCTCTTCGACCGTGCTTTTGGTCTCCCTCCCACCTCTCTGCCTTCCCTCACCCCTACACCACCTCTCCTCCCCCATGCTTGGGCCCTGACACCTGACTGTTCAGTGCTTTGGGACGTCCTCCCGACGTGAAAGGTGCTCTATACATGTCATTTTGCTGTTGTTGGTTGATTTTGCGCCATCTGCGTGTCACTTTGAATTGGAATGTTGAAAAAAGTCCATCACTGAGCTGGAGGGTATTAACTGGCACCTGGCCTTGCCGCTTTGTTAGGACCTATTAGGATGCATTGATCATCTGCCATAGGCTACACCGCTCCTGACAATGCTGAAACAGCCTGCTATTGTTAAGATAATGGACTAAGTGTGCTCCTACTTTATAACTAGCGTAAACAGGAACACAGGTCATGAAGATAGACTGCAGTAAATCGATATATCATCCCTGTGATACTGATGAACCTGATGAATAATCTTTGGGGGAGAAATTCCACCCGGGCCTAGATTTACTTGCGTAATTTTGCGAATTCTAAAATACTACACAGTCTTAATTTTGAACCTAGAATTCTGTAAGTTTATATTAAGTACAGAAAACTGACTCCAAAGTTAAGACTGAATTCAACAATTATGGTAGTCTTGAATTGGATTAAGTTGGATGATGATTTGAGTTTGCCAATGGTATAATTAATAACTTTATCTAAGTTTTATTAATAAGTTATTAACTGTGAAAATTGATTCCCCACAAGGTCAGGGTAAATTTACAATTTTTGAAGTTAAATTCCGGAAGAGTAGTTAAAAAATAAACTGTGTACAGCATTTCTAAAATGGAGATTAGGTGAGATAGGTTGCTTTGATGGATTACTTTCTGAATTCAGTTCTGTCTTTGGGAGACAGACAGACAGCACAGTATAGTTACCCTGCTTGGTGTATAATCAATCTATTTTTCTTTGTTTCTTGTTCCCAAGACGGCCTTTCACGTCGGGAGGATGTCCCAAGGCACTGGACAGTCAGAGGTCAGGACCTAAGCATGGGGGAGGGGTGGGGTAGGGGTGAGGGAAGGCAGAAAGGTGGGAGGGCGACCGAAGACACGATCGAAGAGGACAGTCTTGAGACCGGCCTTGAAGGAGGCAAGGGAGGAAGTGAGGCGAAGGGACTGTGGGATGGAGTTCCAGAGTGTGGGGACAGAGAGGCTTAAAGCCCGGCCACTGATGGTAGGGCGGGTTGGGCGGGAGACACGGAGCAGGCCGGAGCCCCCTGAACGGAGGGAGCGAGCAGGTTGGAAGGGAATCATCAGGTCAGAGAGGTAGGAGGGGGCAAGGCCATGGATGGCCTTGAAAATGAGGACGAGGATCTTGAATTCGATCCTCTGCCAGTGGAGTCGGGCGAAGGTGGGAGTGATGGGGTCACGGATCCTGGTGCACGAGAGTACACGAGCTGCAGAGTTTTGGTTAATCTGCAGGTTGTGAAGGGAAGAGTTGGGAAGGCTGATGCGGATAATTGAGCCTTGCTGTGATGAATGTGTGGTGAGGGTGCATAAGAACATACAACATGCATAAGACTTGATAAGTCAGCAAATATAATGCCAAGCTGCAGGTATCTGTGTATTGATATCTTGGTAGTGTCTCTACCATCAACCATACTGCTTTCACTCCACCATTCACTGGAAACGCTCAGAGATGCTACCCAGTGTCAAGGGTGCTATATAAATGCAAGTTGTTGTTGTTGCAGTCCTGTGCCTGTTTTATACAGAGCTCGGGGAATCTGTGTCCGATGGAGGAAACCCTAGTAGATCAAGTGATTATTGCACACTTTCATTCACTGTGAACGCTGTCACTTCCAAAATGGATGATTAATTATTGCATAATTAATTCAGATATGAATATATTGGGTGTTAATGCAAGTTCAATTCCTTATGCATTTACAAGTAATGGAGTATATCTGCAGTAAAGTGGTTGACATGGCAAAGGCATTTTGCCAAATGAGCTGCACTTCCCTCCCCCCCAGTAAAATGACTGAAATTGTCTGATAAGAAATGCACTTAATGCAGTGCTGCTGTGATAGCTAACCAACCACTTCAACTTTAGTGCTTCCTTTCATATAGGCCCTTTTTAATATTTTAGCAAAATAATCCTTTCCTCGGACATTGCACGGAAGTGACTAATAGTGGAAGAAATCACATCTGAGCAGACAGGGCCAGATCCGTGAATTTGTTTTAGAAAAGGAAAGAGAGATAAATACTGAGGAAAGAGAGGGGGAGGGAGATAGAAAGGAATACAAGTTGTTAGTTTTATATCTTCAGTTTTCTCCAGTTACTGGCGCCATCAATTCCGCAGAAGAATTGTGCTCTTGGAAAGTTCTCATTTCACAAAGCACTTTCATTTCAATCAATTAAAGGATTGTTAACACTTGCTAAATTTAGACTTGTTTCCATTGTCAAAACTGAGAGGCTGGGAGGTCAGGCTGACTGTGTCGATGCTTGTCCAGTGACTGAAAGCTGTGTGGGGGAAGGGAAGATACTTTCTTTTGATCGATTGACATCAGGTCACCATGTTCTTACATTCAGACAATTAACCTTAATAACCTTGAGACTGATTTCTTAAAGGGGAAGTCCCTTCAGTAAACAAATAATTTTATTGGCATCTTAGTACTGAATTATGCTTTAAAGGTTACTTTTGTAAAGAATATTGTTTTATGAATATAGAAAGATTTGCAGCACGTTTCTGCCACCAGCATTTTGATTGCAGTAAAGACAGTGAGTATAACACAGTTTGTGCTGTGAATTTCTTTTTGTGTCTTTTACAGAGACAAAAAGAAGTTTCTCAAACAATTTTCATGAAGACAATGCCAGTTTAAAAATAACTTAAATCTATCTTGTGCTACAATCATTAACGCAGCCCAAAATCTTGCTTTTTGAAGAGAGTTTAAATTGGCTCCAAGTCTCACTTCTGATGGGAAGGGAGTTTATGTCCTCAAAAGAACTGTTTGACGCTCTTGTCTCTCCAGGCAACCTGAGGCTGCAGAGTGACAACAGCCTGACACCAAGCAGGGTAACCATACTGCCTGTGCTGCCTGTCTGTCTCCCAAAGGCAGAACTGAATTCAGAAAGTAATCCATCAAAGCAACCTATCTCACCTAATCTCCATTTTAGAAATGCTGTGCACACTTTATTTTTTAACTACTCTTCCGGAATTTAACTTTAAAAATTGTAAATTTACCCTGACCTTGTGGGGAATCAATTTTCATGATTTTCTGTCCCTCATGTTGTTTTTGCATCTCCATTTTCCTTTCAGTTGTCTGATATTTGATGCAATACAATAGCTAATGGGTATTGTGGCCAGAATTAGAAGCCAGACTATATTAATATTTAGAACACAAATCTCAGTCATTCTAGTCAGACATCTGAACAGGAAGGAGAATAAGGGACCAGATTGTTGGCTAGTTTTTATTGAATCACTCATCACCCACACTCGGAATTATTTCAGTTCTTATTTTGAAGCTTTTTGTTTGAAGGAAGTCACAGACCTCAAGCTTGTTTCAGCATATCAGTTTGGGAGTTTGTAATATAAATATCAACAAAGTAACCACAACCAATTCAGAGTGGGAATATTCTCTGAACCCAAAGAGCAAACAAAGCACAAGAATGGCAGCTGATCAAACATTAATATAAAATAGCCCTGTAAAATCTGTGATTGTTATGACCCACCACAATCACAGGGATGGGGTAAGAATGTTCATTTTAGTGCAACCCACTCTGTTAGTGATTTCTAACCACTTATTTTTGTTTCTATTTGTTTATTTCTGTACAATTTCTCCCACCCTGTCATGTAATTCCCCTTCTTAATGTGTAAAAGGGTCAAAGCATTTAATCTTGCCAGTGCTGAATGTGCCAACATTGATATATTTGTACCTTTTAAATGATCCTATTGTTCACTCATAAAAAGTTTAATGTGTGAAGGCTCCTTCATTCCTAAATCATTTATTCCTTATGTAGCATTTCCACACCCCTCCCTCTCATGTCTTTATTTTTCATCTGCCTTTTCCTTTCCTTTGATCAGCTTTGTTTTCAATTTGGTTTCTGCTCAGTGCCAGTTCTTATGAACTCTGCTGGCAAGATAATAAGACTTATTGCATTTGTTATGGTGCCTACAATATCACAGTGTTTCAGTGTCCAATAATTACTGTCAAGTGTAGTGACTTTTTGTAGACAACACAGCAGTCATGTAGCAGACAGCCAAATCCCACTACGAGCTATGAGGTGAATGACCAATTTATCTAGAGAATTGTTGGCCAGAACACATTATGATTACAGGGACCTTAATTAACGGTAATGATGTGTATATTGAATTTAAAAAAATGTTGTTCTTCATTGATGGATTAAATTTGGACAGCACCTGAAAATCTTCTAATGCCTTATTGTTGAGAAGCTTTCCTAGACACATGCCAAGGTAGTCTCAATTTTTAGCAAGTGTTGGTCATCTTCTGAAAGGAAGCAGAGAAATCCATTAATAGCAGAGAAGTGTTAAGGTGTCAATATGCTTGATGCTTTCATTACAGCAGAAAACATAACTAAGTTGCAATGTAGCTCCAGTGTGTCTCTCGTGCAACAAAAAGCAAGATTGGATCAGTCACTGGTTTTATTTTGCTACATGTGTTCTTGGACATCGGTAAATCCTAGCAATGATGGAGCATGTAGGCTTCCAGTTATCCATTTTACCCTCAGTGAGCATACTGAGGGTATACTCCCCCCACCCAATATTAAGAGCAATTTATGTAACTTAGTGTTGTCCACTGATGGACCTGCACAATACCACCTCTATTGCACTGGTAGTGCCACTATAATGGATTCATTAATGTTACATAGCAGGAACTCTTCTTGAAATCTTAGTAAAATAATACTAGTTTCAGGTCAGATCTCAAATGATATTGTATTTGTTTGATTTTGTGAAAACCAGTGATAGCCAGACTGTGATAAATATTGACTGCATTATAGAGCTCTGCCTGATGACAGCTACAACTCTACACTTAACATAAAGTGTGCTATAAAGCATAAATCTTGGTTTGCCAACTGCTCCAGCGCTTCTGTATCATGCCTGAGACTGTTAATCTTCATTTGCTGGTGTTTATGGCAAACAGATGAACAACTTTATTTTGAATTGAAAGAATCTTCAATAACTAGGTGGAACAGGCGCAGTGGGCTGGGTGCCTCCTCCTGTTTTCTTATGCTCCTAATACAGTTTCCCACAATAATTTTGTTTCTAAACATTAATTTGGTGTTTGCATTTGATACAGTGCCAGTAACATCAGACATTTCAGTGCACTTCATAGGACTTTTCTGCAAAGTAAGTGACAGTGTATTTAAAGGCCAATTTGGGCATAGCAATGCCCCACAAACAGCCACAAAGTGACTCATTTTATCTGGGGAATTGTTGGCCAAGATACAGCAGAAACTCCAGTGCAAATGCACACAATTTCAAGCCAGTCTCACAGAAAGATGGGTCACTGTAGGCTATTTGCTCATTGCAGCGAATTCCGATTGGGCCCTTTCAATAGTAAATCATATTCATATCTAGACAAGAAATACTTTGCTGAGGATGAAAAATAGCGCATGAAATAAATACTAGTACAACAACAAGATTTCATTTATAGAGTGCCTTTCACGTCGGGAGGACGTCCCAAGGCGCTGGACAGTTGGGTCAGGACCCAAGCGGGGGGGGGGGGGGGGGGAATGGTCAGGGGGAGGGGAGGGAGCGAGGAGGGGGTAGAGATTCGAGAGGGGAGCTGAAGGTACGGTCAAAGAGAAAGGTCTTGAGACCAACCTTGAAGGAGGAAAGGGAGGAAGCGGCGAAGGCACTGGGGGATGGAGTTCCGAGCCTAGGGGCTGAGAGGCTGAAGGCCCGGCCACCGATGTTAGGGCGGGGGATGTGGAGCAGACCGGAGCCAGAGGAACGGAGGGTACGGGCAGATAAGTAGGGGGATAGTAGGTCGGAGAGGTAGAGGGAGCAAGGCCGTGAATGGCCTTGTAGGTGAGGATGAGGATCTTGAATTCGATCCTCTGGGGAATGGGGAGCCAGTGGAGGCGAGCGAGGGCGACGGTGGGAGTGATGTGGTCGCGAAGCCTGGTGCGGGACAGTACACGAGCTGCAGAGTTCTGAATGACGTGCAGCTTGTGGAGGGAGGTGCCCAGAAGGCCGGCGAGGAAAGAGTTCCCATAGTCCAGCCTTGAGGTGATAAAGGCGTGGACCAGAGTTTCAGCAGCGTGAGGGGTGAGGTAGTGCCGTAGTCTGGCCATGTTTCGGAGGTGATGGAAGGCGGTGCCAGTTGTGGCGCGGATATGAGGAAGAAAGGACAACTCAGGGTCGAACAGAACGCCGAGGTTCCTGACTGGCTTTGAGAGGTGGAGAGTGCAGCCTTGGATGCTGATGCTGGCAGCGCCTGAGGTGCGGAGGCGCTGACGCGAGCCAATCAGGAGGGCCTCAGTTTTAGGCACGTTGAGCTGAAGAAAGTTATCTCTCATCCAGGACTCAATGTCGGACAGGCAGCTGTCAGGACATCGGGGGTCGTGGAGTTGAGGGTAGAGGAGGACAGGTAGAGTTGGGTGTCATCCGCATACATGTGGAAGTTAACCCCATGTCTGCGGATCATGTCACCAAGGGGGAGCATATAGAGGGTGAAGAGGAGAGGACCGAGCCCTGAGGGACACCACACGAGACAGTACGGGGGCTGGAGAAAAGCCATTTGTGGAAACAAAATGAAGACGGTGGGAGAGGTACGACCTAAACCACTCAAGGACAGGGCCTTGAAGGTTGAGGTGGGAGGACAAGTGGTGGAGGAGGATAGCGTGGTCGACCGTATCGAATGCTGCTGATAGGTAGAGGAGGACGAGGAGGCAGAGGGAGCCCTGGTCGCAGATGGTCAAGATATCATTGGTGACCTTGACCAGGGCAGTTTCTGTGCTATGGACAGCACGGAAACCCGACTGAAGGGGTTCGAATAATGAATGGGTGGAGAGGAAAGAGCGCAGCTGGGAGGCGGCAACTTGTTCAAGGACCTTGGACAGGAAGGGGAGGTTGGAGATGGGCCGGTAGCTTGATAGCTGCGATGCATCAAGGGAGGGTTTTTTCAAAGTGGGAGTGACGGTGGCAGTTTTTAGGGGAATGGGAACAGAGCCAGAGGAGAGGGACAGGTTGATGATGTCTGTGATAAGTGAGGCAAGGAAGTGGAGCTGGGAGATAAGGAGTGGAGTGGGGATGGGGTCAAGAGAGCAGGTGGTAGGTTTCAGGGACAGGATGAGTTTGGTGACAGAGGGTGGGGAAACGGGTTCGAAGGTGTGTAGGGGAGGATGGGTAGGAGTCGGAGTGTGGGAGGGAGGGGGTGGGGGGAAGTTGGAGGGGAAGTGACCGCGGAGCGGATTCCCTTGATTTTGGATTCAAGGAAATCCAGCATCTCCTCATAGTGAAGGTTGGAGGAGATGACCTGCGTGGGGTGGCGGGGGGGATGGAGGAGTCGGGACGTGGTAGAGAACAGAAGCCTTGTACAGCAGGTCTCATTGTGTGATTCAATTGCAGGAGCGTAACATTCATCTTATCCACCAGCAAAAAATAGTTTCAATAATAGAATCAGTAATGCAAAAAATAACTCTGCTGCATGGAGATTGTTTCCAGAAGGTAAAGGATCTGAAGCTCAAGATGATGTTGATAATAAGCCACTTGAGTATTGCTCTCACAGCTTATAATGTTATCTTAACCTCAATGTATTACAGTGCTCTCTTCTAATACACAGTAGATGTTATATCTGCAATATTTCAATAATGGAGATCCCACTGTTATCTTTACCTCCCTATAAGGACTCCACTGCGCTTGGGTATAAGATATGTCATAGGCATAGATTGTGCAGCTAACCAAGAAGATGGCAGAACTCTCAGACCTCCAATGTGCTGCTCATGTTGCGCAGGATGAGTGAGTGTGTATTGAAGAGCAGGCTGCTTGCCCCAGTGATCTGAATAAAGCTGCAGGCGAGGTTTCAGACACACTGTGTTCACTACTTCTGATGAACAGAAGCAAAATTGCAAAACTGATTCTACACCGTCAACTTTCCAACCTATTCAAGACCAGCAAAACAGATTGACTGCTTGTTATTACCAAACCATGTGCCTCCTGTGTTATGCACAGTCAGTGAGCATTGCTGGAATACTCTTCTCTCCACATTCCATACATGGAGTGCAATAGCTGTTTGAATATTCATACAATGTTCATAAATTAGAAATGATGTTCTGCTAATAATTGCATGAATCATTGAATAAAAAGATTTATATCAGTGAAATGACCAATTATTGTGGTACACAGTTTAGTTGGCAACACTCATCTCTGAGTATGAAGGTTCTGGATTCAACCCGCATGTCCAGGTTGGCTGTACTGTCAGAGGTGCCATACTTTGGGTGAGACATTAAACTGAGGTCTTGTTTGCCAAGTTTTTAAAGATCCCATGCCCTATTTGATGAGAGAAGGGAGTTTCTCTTGATAACCACTAATTCCCAAGAGAAAAAAAATTGATCCTTCATTGCATGGCAGTTTGTACAGAATAGCTTTTCGTAAATTGGCTGTCACATTTGCCTATAAACAAATAAAAACCTGAAGCGCTCTGAGACATTCATGTGATAAGGCGATGCATCGAATCATCAAATGCAAGGATTATTATTACTTTCAAATTCTTTCCATAACATTTATTTGCTCAGATGGCATGGTGTCAATTGCTAAAATCTCTCAAATCGAGGATGTAATGTGCTTTACTGGATTAGAAATTTAGTGAAGCAGAAAGGGAGAGGCAATACAATCACAGAAAACAGGATTAAGGATTCAGCATAATATATATTTATATAGTGCCTTTTACATCGGGAGGATGTCTCAGAACATTGCACACAGACAATACTAGGATAGCAATCGTTATGGTTCTCTGCTGTAAACAGGAAAGAGTGAAATGGTTTAGTTCAGTGTATTGCTGTTTGAGTATGTTGAAATGTGTCCTGTTGGATCACTTATTGTTGCTCCTGCGGCTAGTTAAAATGAACTTTATCTGACCTTGTACATATTGGAAAATACTCTGAACAGAAAGAGATCTTCAGTATTATTCCCAGTGCTGAACACCGAGGATGTTTAATAACGTACACACAGGAAATTATTCTGATTGATCGGTTATCTTTAATTCTCATCACAGACCACTTAAGTCTGTCAATCTGGACACCAAAATGTCATTACATTAGTGGATGCCTTTTCAGTTTTTTTCCAAGACAAGTTTAAGTGGTGACAAAGTGAACTCTCCTCCCTTTGTTGTGGGAGAGCGACTGAAACCCATCTGAGATGTATTGCCTCCTATACTCCATCACCCACTGATTTATTGTCAGTGGAGGTTTTACATTAAACGATTCTTCAGCTCTGTGGCTATTCAACATAAGGGGCAATCATCACAGGAAATGAACATCCTGTTACAAATGTGGGCTGATCATTAAACCTCCCAAATAGTCTGCCTTAATACAATTACAATTGCAGAGTTAAAGGTTGTTAATGAATTTGCAAAAAATCTCATGGTAATTAAAGCTTTTTGAATTAACTTAGAATTCCTAGTGATACTTTTAACTACCCTAGACACAGACTGGAGGAGAAATTCCACCTGGATCTAGATTTACTCTGTTTGTATTGCATTTCAGAGTGACCAGAATTTAGCAAATTGTTGAATTCAGTCTCAACTTTCATGCTGTTTTTCTGTAGAAGATATTGGGGGAAAAAACAGGTTTAAAATTAAGAATTTGCAAATTTCTGGATGCTCTGAAATCCTAAGAAAATAGAGTAATTTTAGACCCAGGTAAAATTTCTACCCAAGAAAGAGTGCATTTATTAATTACTAGCTGTGTTTTGGATGAAAAAAAAGTTTATTTAAAAAAAAGCTCCTTTCTCCCTCACTTTCTCCTGAAGGCAAGTCGACTTACACTGAGGCTACTTATTCTGTTCCGCAGGGGCCAGCAGCCCTCTGGACAGTGTCTTAGCCCAGACCGTGAATAGAAATCAATAGCAACTGCAGAGGAGCAGCTTTTTGTCTGATCTGAATCCAGTCGCCAGGGGGTGCACAAGTGTGGATGACCCTTGCTCCAATGTTCCATTCTCCTCCACATCTCGGTTAGGATCAGGGTAATAAGCATCTTTGTTTGATATCTAGGACTCTCTACATCAACATTTCTTGGTCAGCATTCAGAAGGAATACAGAAATCGTTTTAGTAAAGGTCAAAGATTGAATCTTTCCCAACAAGGCGAGATCTCCATCAGCTGTAATGTGACCACAATTTCTTAGTAACCTCGGGCAAGTAGTTCCACGTTCTGCTTAAATAGCATTCATTGAATATGAAAGCACTTTAGGATATTTGATTACTAGTATTGCACGATAGCAATACGTGTCAGACTGTTAGCTCTCTGAGGTCTCCTGATATGTCATACCAATGGCAATGGTCCAGCACTGTGAGTGGGTCAGCTGCTACTTTGCCTTGTCAAAGCAAGTAGCCACTTTAAAGTTTTACTCTAGTTTTATTTGCCCGGCCTCTTCCATCTGATAAACTGAGAATATCGTGGGTCTCAAAGTAACATGACTGTTAGAAAGTGAGTGATTCAATGGCATTACATACAAGTGGCTCTATCCAATCAAGCCCCAAATGTGTAAAAATCACACTGGAACTCCATTTCTTACTCCACATGCCTAATAATAATCCCTCAAGAAGAAAAGGTAATAAATTGGTCACTTCAATCCACAACTGTATGTGGGACACTGCTGTGCTCAATTGGCTGCTGCGTTTTGCCCACAAATAATATAGTCAATTCACTTTACAGTATTCTGCAAAGCGCTTTGAGATGTCTCGAAGATGTGAAAAGTGCTATATCAAATGCAAGGATTATTATATTATTATTTCTGACATTGATGTTTTCTATAAGGTAATTAAAAAAAGAGAAATGATTCAAGACTCAGCTTTAGATTTATAAACCTAATTGCAGAGCAATAATGTAGTACTGAACCAATAATAATTCATGCATTTGATACAGAACCTTTCACATTGGGAAGATGTCTCAAAACGCTTCACAGGATTTACTGTAAAGTGTAGTGACTATTTTGTGAGTGAATGTGGCCTCCAATTTCCACACAGCAGTGAATGACCAATTGATTGATTCTCTTCTGGAATAGTGATATGGTATCTTTAACATCCACTGATGGAACGGGACCTTGGTTTAACATCTCATCTGAAAGACAGATCTCACCCAATCCCATGGCTTCTGTATGAACTGGAGATGGTGCCCAGTGAATGCCACACAAGTAGTTTGGATTAGCATTGCTGTTAAACTTGTCCATCCCAACATTTAATCAGACTGTTTCCCTGGCCTTCTGATCTATTACCATCTACTTGTCCAGTTATTATCAACCATAACCACTTTCACTGTGGGCCTTTTTAATGTGCCCACATGTGTTCAGTTAGTATACTGGCAATTGGGATTGGCTCCCCAAGAGCTTGTGGACATCACAAAGCTTTGAAACAGTGCGAGTGTGGGGCTGCAGTTTCCCGTTTCTGGGAATAGGATGAGGTCATTCACTCTACATTGTTTTAAATTATCAACAGCTTGGTTTCAAGAATCAGCTTCAGTCATTTCTCAGATTGTAAGTTCTGCACAGACAAAGTAGAAAGCTATTGAAACAATCACAAAAAACAGCAGCTACCCACCGGGCTCTTCTGATATTGTTTCCAAACCATCGCAAAGCCCTTTAGTTTCTCTCAGCTCCGGCTTCCCACTGAATTAATACTTCCTTCTCCCAAAACTGTTGGCCACTCCTTCCCAGAAGGGATATTGTTGATAATGAAATCATGAACTTGCATTGCAGGATTCTTCAGCTTTCTCAGGTCAAAACATCTCAATGCGAGTCATGGGTAGGGAACTGCTGTCAAGTTTAATCACTATTTATATGAACAGTGTCTCCTTCAGATTGTAGCACCTTGTGTTTATACCTGACATTTGCCATTGATACACTTGTAAGACCAATTATATCCAGTCCGTGAGGAAAATCATTTGTGCTCTCCAGCAGTTGCTTTCACAGATCTGTTCAGATATCATTTCCTCCCATTGTCCAGACCGCTGTTCAAACGCCTTTGATATTTCAAATAAAAGGACGCTTGAAAAGTCGTCACTTAAGAATCCATAAATTGAATTTTACCATCGATCAGTGCAGTACCTTTGATTTTTGGTTTGAGCTTCTGCTGATACGAGCAGCTGTAGTAACATTCCCAGGCGGGATTTCTTTCTCCGGTTTTCATTCCAAGAGTCAATAGCCCGAGTCAGTCCTGGGCTGAATGGAAAAAATCAACAGGAATCCTCATTGCACTTCACCCAAAGGGAACCTCTGCAGATCAACCGAACACACACACATTAACAATAAACTGCCAAAGCTACAATAAAAAGCAAACTGCAGTCACAGTGTATGTCTTCTCACTTTGTTACAAGTTACAGTCCCTCTTCTGAGAGCAATGACTACTTACGAGGCCACTATATTTTACTCACTTCAGTGCCTCTTGTCATTCTTTCATTCCGATCGTTTTTGTTTAAGCATTACTTAAAGGGAAAGTCATCCATTTCAATCAAGACAGCTTACCACCTGTTGACTATTTGATGGCGAAAATTAAATGACCAACATATATCTTAAATGCTCTACCATCAATATCGTGTCGATCTCATTGAACTAGCCTACGTACAGCGATAAATAAATGAAAGCTCCCTGTTTAAATCACACTCTCCCAGCGTTTCTTTCTCTTCTGGGAAATCTCTTCACACCACCTTGAAATCATTCTACCGAAGCCCTGATATTGAAACTCTACAATTACAATAAATTACTATACAGACTATAAAACTCACTTTCTATTCGCGGATTACGAGTCGCAGAGAGAGTCAGGAATTATCCCTTTCCATTCTAGCGGGAAACATTCTTACAAATTCTCTCCATCTCTTTCCCCTTTTACTCACCCTTCAATTTAAAAATCCTGATGTGTGTGTTTTTATGTCTTTCAATGCTAAGTCTCTCTCTCCCTCTATTACATTCTAAAGTGTTCCCAACTCCGGCAATGCACCTTTCTTCTTCTCTCGCTGTCGACCTCTTCTCCCCCCATTTCTCTCACTTTTGATTTTACTTGTTCTATGTTCTCCCCTCGTTTCTCACTGCATCTTTCTCGTGTTTCTCACAAGCACCAGTGTTCCCTCTAACAGTTAGTTAGGGTGTCGCGCAATACATTGTACATACGATCCTACTGTCCCCCCGTTTCTCTCCCCAACCTTTTCCTTTTATACAAATAAGTATTTTTTTCCGAACTGAAGTGGATTTTGATTTCTGAAATACTTAGCGTTTGAGCTAATTGGCGTAACTGCTCTTTTTGTATATGTGGCTGATAACGTGGCTCCCAAATGCCATTCCATTACAGTAAAACAAAGTCTGCGACTATAATCCGGAGCAATGATTTAATATCGACACTGGCAGCTGTTTTACACCGCACTATTTCCAATTCATTATAGTACTAAAATATAACAGTCAGTTTGTACATTGCGAGATTTATGTTACAAATATCTTCATAATGGATTCGTCTTGAAAGACATCCCAGTGTTTCACGCACACACTTGCGGGTTGACTTGGTATCGGCAGTTTTCAGTTGCTGAATTTAAACGTAGAAAAATATTCTTAATAACTAAATAATATCTTAAAAAGTGCAAACCAACGTATTCCCGGTATTCAAAGCAAAATCTGACCTGTTCGTCGACGTCCAAAATGTTAGGAGATTCCAACCGTTGCTTTATTTTTGCTTTTTTGTTAATAATGTGAGGACTGAAGTCTGACTGCGGTGCGACTCCCACTGAAGGCATCTTCCGACTCACACACAAACTGAAATGAAACTGATCCTCGTTCATTTCAGCCGCGTAGTCCGCGCAGGAAGCAGCGCCGTGAAGCCACCAGACAGGCGGATTAATGCGGCAGCGTCACAAAGGTGTAAAGGGTCAGGCCGACCGGAACTATTTCTCGATGGAGACGTCAGTCCCACTGGGAATGCGACTGAGACAGACACAGAGCGTATTGTTCCCAGTAATGTTTTTAGATGATAATGTGGGACTTTTGCAAAATGTAACACACGCTCATTGGGTAACAAAAGAGGGAGAAAAAGTTGCAGTTGTCAAACCACTATACACCCATTGTGAAAACTCTGGATAAAAAGCCCACTTGTGGATGAAACGTGCCCTGTCTTATGCTTCCCATGGAACTTACTGTAAAAAACTGCACTTTATTGGCCAGGCTGGCACCACAATGGTTTAGTTTTAGTGGGAACTAAATAAGATTTTTATATCTAAAAAATACATAAAATCAGATCAAAATTCCCCAAAGTGCTTCACACAAAACTACTTTTCAGTGTTGGGTCTTTGTTTTGTAAGGAAATTAGGCAGCCGTTACCTTCAGCCACTGAAGAGAATGACCAAGTAATCAGGAAGATTGCTGGACAGGCCACCTGGAGAAACATCTCTTTTCCAGCAATATCTTTACTGCCCGACAGAAGTAGATAGGACCTAGGTTTAACATCTGAAAAAATGGCACATTTGACAGTTTAGAGCTGCTTGTATTTTGCTGGAGTATCAGCGTAGACTGTGAGCTCAAGTCTCACACGCTTGATGAAGAGAGAGTGACCCTGTTGGGAAATTGGCTGTTCCCAGTCAGCAGGTTTGTAAATGAACCATGACTCAGAAAGAGCTACAACCTCTTCCTTTTAGTGATAAATAGAATTATTAACGTTTAGAAGTTAGTGCCTTGAGACGTCCTCCTGAAGAGAACAGCGCTATACATATGTAATTTGCTGTTGTTGAAGTAATTACTCAAAGTAATTGAATGTGTTTGCAAGGTATCATCTTAAGGTGATGTAGAGAGCTGCCACGTCAATACAATGATTTGTATTTTTAAAGAGGTGCTCTTAGCAAAAAAATGAAAGAAGCCTGTTAGCTGTTCACCTCGTATACTCCGTGTCACTCTGTATGTTGTCAGAGATAATAGAGTCATCTATTCATGGAAATCTGTTTGCTGATCTTTGTCCTGCCAAGGTAACGTATAACAAGTTTAAACAATTTAAAAGATTCAATTCCAACTAAAGTTTGATGGCTTTCATAACATCTATATGCTTGAGTGTTTGAATTGTCTGTGGTGTGGTTTGCTTTGCTCTTGGATGATTTATGGTTTTGTTGCTTGCGTTTTGTCAACCAACCTGAGTTGTAGCCTAAGCCAATTACTCTTGTAAGTACAAACTGTTAATTGGCTTTGGTGCTTTGGCAGTCTATAGCTGTGTCTTTGTTAGTCCAAAAATTGAAATAATGCAAGATTGCTTATATCTGTGTGATAAAATAAGCAGACTTCTTCTCAGGATGAGAGTACCAGACCTTTTTGAAATTGTGGGAGCTTCACATGGGGTCTTCTTTTAAAGTGAGAAATTTTCTTTAATAAATGATGTGAATGAAGAATCATTCTATATTAAGTGCAGTGTGCTCATGTACATTGATTGTCCAGCGTCTTGGGACGTCCTGCCGACATGAAAGGCGCTATACATATGTAATTTTGTTATTGTTGTACCCAAGTGGTACTGTGTAATGGTTGAGTTTCAGCTACAGTTTTCCAAGGCTAAAGGCTAATATTGAGCTGATCACAGCTAAGCCACCTGGGAAAGGCAGCTGAGCTTTGGAAGGAAAGCTTTTCCGTGGGAGAAGCTCAGAGGACAAGCTAACCATTCTCACCCAGCTGTTGTGACTGCCGCAGACACTACTACTTGGTAGAGGAATTGTCAACAGTATATTCTGAGGGATCTTAAAACAACATTGAAAATGTTTGAAACATAGGATTTAAGAAATACTCTGTGGATGAATTCACTACATGGTTATTGAACCACAAGTCCAGGAAGGTTCCAGGTTGGATCCCTTGTTACAGCTGATCTCAATTTACCAGAGAGGTGATGATATTACAATTCATCTTGTTATTCCTGGGTTAAGGAGCAGAAATATTCACCGTGCTTCCTGCTCTTCCGAGTTATTCAGTGACCCCTGCTGAAAAGTTTGCGTGTGTGATGTAGGGGGAGGACAGGCTATAAGGTTCTGTTATAATGTTCCCTCAGGGTCAAATGACACATTGACGCGCCCTGCCTTGGCTCACACAAGAGGGATGGTGTCTTGGACAGGGTATTGGAGGGCTTGCCAGTAAGTGTGGCTCTGCATCCCTACATGCTGGAGTCCTGTAGCTCAGTGGTTAGAGCACTCGCTTTGCAAGTGAGAGACCTGAGTTCAATTCCAGGCAGGTCAGGGCGAAACCTTGGGCAAGTTTCCTTACTCCACACAGAGCCTAATAATAATCCCTCCAAAACCAAAAACAATAATAAATTGGTCATTTTCAATCTATGACTGTTTGTGGGACATTGCTGTGCGCAATTGGCTGCCGCGTTTGCCCACAAATATACAGTCAATTCACTTTATAATATGTTCTGTGAAGCGCTTTGGGACGTCCTCCCGACGTGAAAAGCGCTATATCAAATGCAAGGATTATTATTATTATTATTATGCTACATTATAGTAAGGATAGGTGAGAAGAAAGGAACCATTGGTTACCCATTGGTAATGTTTCTTTTTGTGAGACCGTAAAACATTTTTAAAAAATCAAATTTTACTTTTTTTGTGTCAAAATAGTTTGAAAGATATCCATTGGAGATGTTTCGGAAGGAGCCTTTGGATAAGAATGTGTTCTTCATTCACTGCCCAGGCTCCGTCCACTCCTTGCTCCATTGTGACTGTATGTTAAAACGTGTAAAGGTCACACTTGGAATCTGACCTATTTCACAAAGCATACAAAAATAATTAGTGTTCACTCCCCTTTTCCCATAATCTGCCTTCCTTAACTTCTTTCGTTTGCAGCAGATTGAACTCCACTACCACCCATTCTGACCTTCACAGTGTGGACAAGAATGATGGCTATGACAGAGTCATTGGAAAGGTATACCCAGTTTCAGTTGGTTTAGGCCAGACATAAACCTCCTGTGGTTTGACAAATATATTGTGACGCACACTCAATGAAGGTGTTACTCGTGAAAAAATATGCAGAATATAATTTTATTACTTAACACAAAACTTAATAATAATAATAATCCTTGCATTTGATATAGCGCTTTTCACGTCGGGAGGACGTCCCAAAGCGCTTCACAGAACACACTGTAAAGTGAATTGACTGTATATTTGTGGGCGAACGCGGCAGCCAATTGCGCACAGCAATGTCCCACAAACAGTCGTAGATTGAAAATGACCAATTTATTATTGTTTTTGGTTTTGGAGGATTATTATTAGGCTCTGTGTGGAGTAAGGAAACTTGCCCAAGGTTTCGCCCTCTGCCTGGAATTGAACTCAGGTCTCTCACTTGCAAAGCGAGTGCTCTAACCACTGAGCTACAGGACTCCACAAGTCCTGTAGCTTCATCTGTTGTAAGACAAACATGTGTTTGTCTCACTTTCCCCTGATATTTTATGTAAAGTGAATACACTTGAGACAGATATGATCAGTCACCACTTGCTTTCTTGTGCACACACTCCTCTCTGTAGAAATCACTTTACAGGGTGACATCGTACCTTTAAGAATGGAGTAATTAAATAATGTACCCTGAAGATTTGGGCGTTTGTCATTTGTTTTGATACATTGAGTTTTGTTGCGTATGAATTTGGGGGAGACAAAGGACTAGAAAATTATAACCAGTTCAGAACCATAAATGTGAATATTATGGCTAGTGCATGCCAACTGCTAATCCTAGTCAAAACATTTTGGCTCTGCTGCTTAATTCATTAGAATGATTCAGTAATGTCAAGTGATAGTGTTGTTTCTAAAAATGGAGCTGCTTCAACCACTGTCTTCGGTGTGATTTTAGCAACAGAGACTGCTGCTCTCAGCTTCATTGCTGGTACCAAACGCTGTCATTGAAGTGAAGTGTTAGAAAGTTAAGAATACTCAATTGTACACAATGGAAAACTATTCTGTTGGAAGAAATTGAAGCACTGACTGAATAGGTTTGGTGACATCTCGACAGCAGAACAGCCTTTTATTGTACTTTCTCACTAGGTGAATGTTCTGACGGTGTCGAATACAACTTTTTTATTTAACAATCCCGCCGAAGACAATGAATCTAAGAAATTGGATTTCCGAGACGCGTACTGTACTGCTAAACCACAATGGTGTTGATGCATGAAATACTCAATGAAAATTTCAATAGGATGTTTAAGAGGTTGAAAGTAAAAGAGTTTGTTTGCTTTCCAAAAATGTGATCATAATATTTTCCACAAGTGTGTATTTTCACCAAATTTGAAATTGAACACATTTTTTTAAAATGTGACTTCCTAACACCAACATGTTATTATGCATTGTATTTCTAGGTGTGCCTGAATAGAAAAGAAGTTGGGTTGGAAGTTCAACATTTTAGACCAAAAGGGGATAGAGAGAAGGATTATTGCAGACAATCTAGCCATAGACAGTCTTTTAATTGTATGGAGTCATTCCATCAAGGCCTAGCACAGGTACTGTCATTCTTCTATGGCTTATTTTCATAACATGGGCCAAGAATGTAAGAGGATCAGAGGTGTTTTTAAATGGGGTTTCCCATTCACAGTGGGTATTTGAAGTGTGCAATGTGAAAAACTCGATGAGTAGGGATCAGATGCTGAGCTAAAGGTCAGAGTGGCTGCAAAATGAACAAATAATTTGTTCCGTTTTTAATATTTCCCAGGTGAAGAGGGTGGGTGGTCCTTTGGCAGCCATCTGCAGGCTGCAACCAACATGCTTTCAATTTTAGATGTGTGTTGGA